AAAATCACCAAAGACTAAAAGGACTAGAATGTACGTTGGTGTCCTCTTCAATAGTGTCCTATGTTGTTTCATCGGTTCAATGTCTATTCTTATGTAATACTTGCTAAGTGAATACTAGATTTAGCTGTTTATATTTTCCAATTTTTAAAAGCATAGCAGATTTTTTTTTAACAAGTCTGGGGTAATCTGTGTTTCACAATTACGCCTACTTTTTGGTAACTTGGCCATTTGCCAAAGAGACTGTACGTCAGGCTTTACTGTCCATCTGGTGGGAGGCTGCCTGGTTTCCAGCAGGACTTGGTGGGCTCTGAAATGCAGGTCTGCCAGCATCCAGAATCTACACAACCACCACTGGGAGCAGGTGATCTCCCTGTTTGAATTAAGTAATTTGACACGAGGAATAGTGGTTTCTTAAGTTTTATTGGTGACTCTACGTTCCTTCCAGGACCAGATTATGGGCTATTGGTGAACATTATTGACCAATTAACAGCTTTAAAAACTGCATTTAAGTTCTGAAAGCAAGGCAACTTCAAACTCAGTGTTTAAAAAAGTAATTCACCCTATACTGAGGGTTTCCATTCCACTTGCCCACTTTTGAACTTTCCAGAAGTAAAGTTATTTTAGGCCACTTTCTTATTTGTAAAGTGAGGCTGGTGCTGTGAAAATTAAATGAGATACCAATTCCTTTATAGCCCGTAACCCATGAAAGCCATGTAGAAATCAGTTACTAGATGGTGGTCCCTTTTTTATTTCTATTTTTTAAAACTATTTTTATTGATTTCAGAGAGGAAGGGAGAGGGAGAGAGAGATAAAAACATCAATAATGAGAGAGAATCATTGATTGGCTGCTTCCTGTATGCCTCCTACTGGAGATCGAGCCCGTAACCCCAGTATGTACCCTTGAACAGAATCGAACCCAGGACCCTTCAGTTCATAGTTTTGATGCTCTATTCACTGAGCCAAACTGTACAAAGAGCTATTTCAAAATTCTGACGTAACTCTCTTACAGTTCTGATTTAAAGGCTCCCAGAACTTACATTCTCATGGGAGAGACAAGATAAGTAACTAAAATATGTGTATACTGGTGATATGTGTGTATTAAAGAGAAGCTTAGAAAGCAGAAAAGGGGATATAAAATCTTGGGAAGGAGTTAAATTTTTAGGTAGGGTGAACAGCTAAGACCTCGACAGGAAGGGGACTCTTGACTAAACTAAGCACCTGAAGAATAAGAAGGTTATACTTGTGTGGATGTCTGAGGGAAGGACATTTCAAGTGGTGGGAGCAACAAGTACA